TGGGGGCTGGACATCCCAGCCTCCCTCGCCACCATGCCGCCCGCAGGTGTGGTGTTGCACGTTAGGGGTCATAAGCTGTCCTGTCGCACGTCCGTGCCCCAGAAGTTCAATGCGGTTGTGTCGCATAGCCAGTAACATCGGCTGCATCTGCTCTGCAACTTTGTTTAGAACTGTTTTGCCTTGCTCTTGCTGGAAGTGCAGTTACGATGTACGTTTCTATGATGATGAGAAATTTCTGCCATAGGCCAAACCTTTGTACAGCGTTTTGCAGGTGTTAATCGCCTGTTTCTCCTTGAGATGGACACTTAGGTAGATCTCTTTCCAGTATTTTAGGGTTCACGGCTTGTTGCCTCCTAGAAATTCTGCTTCTGTGTTTATCAGGGATCATTGGTTCATTGGTTTAACCTTCAACCTCCAACTCCAGCTATCCAGATGCCACTGTTATGAGGCATTTTGCTTTAAAAATGTTTAAAAAATGACTACCATGAAAATCTGAAATACTTTAAAAAATAAATTTCATTTATTATGTGAAAATAAACCACCAAGACAACTTCAGACAAGTGAGGGTGGAAGAAAAAGACCATATTTATGGAGGCAGTTAGAATCAGTTTTAAAATTCAAATGTTTTTAATGCAAAAATTTAGAGTGATGCTATTGCAAAAAATAAATTATGTCCTGTTAAGAAATTGAACATAGATCTGGAGTGAGCTGCTGAATCAGTGATAGCAATGTGTTATTTTTATTTGGTTTTTTTAGGGTTCCGTTAAGATTGCTGTATGTTTAAGAAAATGCGGTACAGAATTGGACAGTGACAAGTTGGATACCTAGCTCACATTTGAGCATTTTTTTTTACACTCGTATCTTTAGCTAAAGCTTAGTCTTACAAAACTAAATTTAGTGAAAGGGATGGGAAGAAAAATGCTCTTTTGCCTTCTTTGTGCTGTAAAATATATTTTAAAAATATATGAAATGTACCTAGTCTGCCTGGTAGATACAGAAATGCTAGTGGTGATCCTAATAGTCATGTGCGGACTAGACCACTAGCTGCTTTCAAATGCAGTTTGTTTACTAGGAGTAACATGATTTTAAACAGAATTCCCTTCTACTTCTGTGTTACAGTTTATTTCTATGAGCAAAGTTTAATAAATGTGTAGAAAAAGGGCATAACAATAGTCATGGAATTGTACTTTACAGCTTAAGCTGAAAGCTATAGCTTTTTCTCGCTTGCTTAGTGATTAAGGAAATTGCGGAGGGCATGTAAGTCCATTTGCTTTCCTTCTCTTGTGGTTTTTTTCACCCTATGTCCTCATTTTCCTTTATAAAACCACTGAATAGCACTTCTTTGGCTGATAGCTGAGATTCTGTACTTCCTGATCTGTTGTTGTCCATGACTGAGAAGAGGACCTCCTGAGGGGATGTCAGCACCATCTTACTGACTGGCATTTTCACTACCTTTGGGTTATGCCAGGCCTTTGCTGAAGGGAAGCAAAGAAGGGTATAGCCTAATCCACAGTTCTGAGATGTTTCACATAGGTTATAACACCATTTTGTTATACAAGTTGTGGCAGATTGTTTTGTAGTGTTTTTGATAATACAACCTGTTGAATATACCACTTCTGGTTGAGGGAGGTGGAGAACTGTGAAGGAGGCTCTTCTGAGACATTGTTTTCTAGGAAGTTCTGTTTCAGCTTTAAAAGGAATAAATTTTATTATTATGGCTGGGACCTTAGCCCTTGTGGGGGTTCTGTGTGTCATCAAGTACGCACCAGTTTTTGTTTTTTGCCTCCCCTCGCTCATCTTTACCTTTCCTGCTTGCAGTGGTGAGCTCCAGCAATGCCTGTTGAACCAGGAAAGAGAGAAGCTCAGATGAACCAGATTACTGCTGCTTTTGCAGTGCCCTGAAGGGCTTGCTGAGCAGAGGAATTTCTCCTCTTGCATTGAAGGAGATTATAAAGTGGTGTCTTCTCTTTCTCTTCGCCCTTCCCCCAGCCAGCTGGATGGCCACTCTTGTGCTGCTACAGTACTGAGCTTTCCCTTGCAGCTGGAAAAGCGCTGTGTCACTGGCAGGAACACAAGCACAGTTCTTCTCGCCGGGGGTCTCCCACACAGGAATTTTGTAGAATGCCAAGACACAGAGTCTAGTGTATTCCTTTGTAGCTCATACAGTAGGCTCACAGCTTCGTATGAAACACTGGTCCTTGGATGTGATGAATATATTACAATTTTCAACACATGCGTGTTTTGCATTCTAAATTTTCCTCTTCCTAAATTGATCTAAGCATCGAAAATCGATGAAAACAATGATGTCACTCTTTACTGACCTACATTAAAAGAGTAAAGGATGCAAATGAAATTCAAAGAAGAAAAGCCCAGCATCACGTTCTACACCTTTGAGCTCTTCAAGTCTTTTTTTTCTCCCATCTTGTAAAACGAGACATGGTTTACCATTTTGTCTTTATTAAAGGCCTGGGGTTTTTTTACCAGCGTGTTATAAGCCATGCATGCTAAGGGAGTCCTTGTTTAGGAAACAGCCTTTCTGGATCCACAAAAAGGTGTCAGAAGGTGGGAGGTGATAGCTGAGTCGATGTATTTAAGTAACATTTGTCTTTCTCAGGGAGTGTGACAAAGTGATTCTGTCCACAGTTTTATTAGCTGAGTTATGCTGTTAAACCAAATTTTCAAATCACACAGTTTAAAGGGCTTTTTTCAAAAACGTGCTCCCTTGAAGATGGATGGTATTAAAATTATAATGAAGCAATAATGTTAATTCATCAATGCACTTCTATTAACATGAACATTTTCAGTGTTTTCAGTGGAGCAGATATATCTGGGGAGGCCAGAAATGGAGTGGTCTCCTCAAGTTTATCTGGTAAGAGGAAAAAAAGAAACTGCTAAAGTGGGAAAGTTTCAATCTTGGGGAAGGATTTGCCTCTCAATGCAAATGATTGCATGCCAAGAATATTAACATTTTTAACTTGAGATTATACCCTTCAGGCTTGAAAGCTGCATATAAGTAAAATTTAAGAGGAGCTATAGTTTAAGCTTAACTTGAAAGACATGTGAACCTCTAATTTAATTTCCCTTTCTCTACACAAGGCTGGCAATATACTTGCGGATCTGTGCTTGGCTGAAGCGTGACTGATTTCTGCTCTCTGAGTGAGGTGGGGAGAGAAGTGAAAGCTCACAGCTGCCTGTGAAAATGAGCTCCTTCTTTCAATTAATTTGATATAGCATTTTCCAAGATTATATATAGTAATTTCTTAACATTATGTTTTCTGAACATAAGGCTTATCTCAGTCTGTCTTCTTTCTTCTGTCTTTAATTTGCTAAATTCCAAATTAATGAAAATTTTCCACAAGTCTCCTGACTTTACAATGTTTTCTTAGGTGCACAGAACTGCAAGTATCTCTTGCCTGGGTAGGTGAATGAATCTTGCCCAAACATAGGTGCCTATATTTAATCCAATTGTCTTGACTCCCTTAGCAGATCATGGAGATGCATCGGTTGTGCTTATGGTGTAATACCATTGACAAAACATGGGTATTTGCTCTAAAATGAAGATGGATTGCAGCTGACCACCATTTTCTTCAGTCAGAGGCTAGCGTGACTTGCCTTGCTCTTTTTAATAATCTTAATGACCTTTTTAGAGGCAATGCAAGGGTCTTTGTAAGAGTGAATCAAAAGCAGCAGATAACTGAACTAGACTATGGAAGCCAAGCTCTTCTGATGTTCTCATGTAAATTCTCAGTTCCCCCATCAAACCATTAACTGCCATTTCCACCTGCTCCAGTCTCAGCTTTTCTCAAGGTTGGGTGACTAGAGTTGATCATAATACTGCAGAAAAAGTCACACCTTCCTGAAACATTATTTACTCTTTTTCCTTCACTGTCACGCTAGTGATTCATAATGTCCTGTGATTGACTTGTGTATCTGGATTGTCATCTGTTTTAATAATTTCCAAACTGATGAATCCTGCACTTATAGGAAAAGTCTTTATTAGTCACTGTTATCAAGACTTTGCATCTGCTTCTATTATGATACTGTAATCCTCCTCTCTATCAGTGATGCATCTTAGCTTCTTGCCATCAGCAAATTTCCTTAGCACTTGGGTTTTCTCCCCCCCCCCCCCCCCAAAAGTCACTGGTAAAAATGGTAGACAAGGCAACTTTCAAGACACTTGCAATTTCTAAGTAAGTTTTATGAAAACATCTGGATCAAAGGAATGCAGAACTATGGTAATGGGAGAACAATTTCATCAAGGGAAGATAGCGGGTGTACCTTTCATGGGAACAGATTGAATTTTAAATTTACCTTCATAATTTACAGAACATTTAATATTCCTTGAATTCTCATCATGAAAAGAAACTCTCTAATTCCCAGGGAGGAGACATTTCTTGCTCAAAAGTTAAAAGCTGAAGTATTAACCAGACTGCCTCAGCAGTCAGGGATGAGCTGAACAGGACAGACAGGAAGCTGGGACTCAGCTTTGACCCAAGAAGTCAAATGTTGTCCTTCATTGTTAGCAGCATCACTAAGGTGTGTGTGATAAAGCCAAGCTCTAGTTTGTTTCTTACAGAGTACAGTTAATCTAGCATTGTAGGTGAATTGGCTCTGACTGCTGTATATTGTCGTCCCATGTCTCCTGGAGAGCAGGTTTGGTAAAATACCACTGTGTCCAGTAAGTGCGCAATTCTGTAGCATAATCTATGCATCTGAGGACACCAGGCTTCCATTATACCAGGATGATTGATGCATTTAGGTTTTTATTAGTTGTTGCTTACATCTGTTTGTGCTTCAAGGTTTGTTTTGTTTTCTTTTAATCCGGACCTGAGAAGTTTGAAAACATTTCAGTTCTGCTGAATGTTTTTTGTCCATCACACTGACCAGGCTTCAAACAAATATGTTCAATCTATTTGAGATAGAATGATGCATACCTGGAAACAATAATATTCTTTTAAGCTACCAGGAGGCTTATGCAGTTTTATTTTTTTCCCCTTTTATGCATGCTTTGAGACTACAAACCACAGTATGATCATAGTTTAAGCGTTAAATAAGTTTAAGTTAGAGGTTCATCACAGGAGAGTTTGATTCCAATAGATAAAACTGCAGAGGAAAGATTTCTTTGTCCTGTTTTTGTTGATGATGTTACTTCTTCCTACTCGTATATAGTACCACAACAGGCAGTTAACTTCTTCATTATATGAACAAAAATTTGGGACCAATGATGTTATTTTTGTCAATAAAAATCATGTCAGCCAAGAGTTGTGCTGTGAAATACATGTTTTTTCTTCAAATGGAAGTGCCATTGCCAAGACTTGAGTTGTTTGTTTGTTTGTTTGTTTTTTAAATCTTATAAAATACATGCTCTAGTAAACTTCCAGAATTTCATGTTTGTGATCAAGTTGCATCAGAATTTCTTCCTGGCTTCAACTGTGAGCAGCTCTGAATGCAAAATTTTCTGAAATTCTGTAAAAGCAACAGTTCTCTCTTCAGCACAAACTTTTCAGTATGATTAATTCAGAAGAGTGTATTTCTGTGAGTATGTGACTTGCCTGGCTGCAGGTGATTTGTATTATTTTCCACCAGGAGTAACAAAACATTTTTTTCCCCTTGTTGTCTTTCCTTTTTCAGATCCAGCTGTGGGATACAGCAGGCCAGGAGCGCTTCCGAAAGAGCATGGTGCAGCACTATTACAGGAACGTCCATGCTGTTGTGTTTGTATATGATATGACAAACATTGCCAGTTTCCACAGTCTGCCGTCATGGATCGAGGAGTGCAAACAACACCTTCTTGCCAATGATATACCACGGATTCTCGTTGGAAATAAATGTGACCTGCGAAGTGCTATTCAGGTACCTACGGACTTGGCCCAGAAATTTGCTGATACTCACAGCATGCCACTGTTTGAAACCTCTGCCAAAAACCCCAATGACAATGACCATGTGGAGGCCATATTTATGACACTGGCTCACAAGCTTAAAAGTCACAAGCCATTAATGCTTAGTCAACCCCCAGAGCATGATGAAATACATATAAAACCTGAACCAAAACCTCTCATGACCTGCTGGTGTTAAAGCATACCATTATCAGTTATTGCCTTGTCTTGTTTGCAAATGCTTAAAAATCATGATCTCAGCAAAGTTCCAGGTTTTGGTAACAGTTATAGCGAATCTCTTTGGCACTTTAATGTGTTTTGTTTTGTTGGGTTTTTTTAACTGGTGTATAGATGTACCCATCTCATGTTCTTGCACTTTGTACTGTCTTAATTACTGAAGTTTCGCTATAAATATAAGGGAAAGTAAACTTTTGAGTGAAGTTTTGACAAAGCAGTTCTCCTTGAGCTCTTGCTGCCTGAGATAGTTTCCGTCACTTGTGGTAAGGTTATAAATAGTAAGCCAGTTTACTAACATTCTTGGTTGCTACTTGCATTGGAATAATGTAGCAGAAAAAGCCAGACAGCTTGATTTTTGGGTCAGCAAGTGGGGAGGTTTTTGACATTTGAAGGACTATTAGGTGACTGCTAGCAAATTGCTAAGGAAGTACCTTTCTATTTTAAAAGCAAGAACCAGGACTGTCAGATAAAGTTTGGGCTGTCAGTGTAGGTGCGGACTGCTGGCTTTTGGCCTGTCATTCCACTGTAAACTTTGTTTCTTCATGGCAATGGTGGGAGAATTGACAAGCTTGTCCCTACCTCTAGACAATTACTGATATTTAAAATGTCATTAATTTTCCATACTTAGCATGCAAAACTAAACTATGCATTCCTTCTTACGGAAAGTACTGTAGCACTGGATTTGGGGTAAATTTGGGACTATAACTGTCCGTAACTTCTCAGACCCTACTAAAACCTCAATATTCAATGAAGACTTGCTTCTGACGATGCTGTAATTTAGTTGAGTGTCCCAGGGTAAGTAAAAACACTTAAGTAAATAAAAGATTGAGTGAAGTTGGCAAAAGCGTACTAGTTTTCAAAGATAGGTGTTTCAGAGGATTTTAATGGTGATGAATGCTTTTCAAGTATCTTGAACAAGCTTTTTGCAACCAACTTGATAACATTTTTGGGATGGAAATGCTTAGGACAAAATGTTAGGAATATGGGAATTCCTTAAAATACTATTTTTATAGTATGGTAATGTATCTGGAGATGATCTGCCTATTTTTGAGCTAAAACCTGCCTGATGTAATGTCATGGCTGTAGGTTGGGCGTCCTTGGCATTACTAATGTGAGTTGGTAGTGGGGGCTTGGTGTCAGAGGAGGGAAATTACTCCTCTAGAACCATCTTGTGTGTTTTTTTGTGATTGCTACCATGTTATTTCAGTTCTGTCTGAAGGTCAAGTTTCATAATAATAATGGTGCTAGGTTGTACATAAAGCGAAATGTAAGCCATAGAATGCAATCTATGACTTCATTCATGCGCCATGTCAAACAAGTTTTTGTGACTCAGTTTTTAAAGTAAAAATGAAGATTTTTTGATTTGGAATGTGTAGTGTGTGATGCTGACTGGAAACTGAATGGAAGGGCCAGTTCAGAAGCTGCCACCCTAGTGATCACATCAGAAACAAATTATTGAAACAAGGTAACTAGTATTAAACTATTACAGCTAATAAGATGTAATTCTTGCAAGTTACACTGACAGAAAAAATGCATTGACTTTTTTTGTAGCTTTAGAAAGAGCATTCAGTTCGGTCTGATATGATTAAGATGTTTAAAATTAATCTTAAAAAAAGATAATTTTTTCCCATATGAAGCTGCTACAACTGCGACAGTCATTTTGTTTATGAAACATTTGTAAAAGGGAACTGTTGTATTCACTCTGAACCTTACATGACTAGAATTTAGTTTACAGTCCTTTCAGAAACAATCAGCTTTTTAACACTAGTGTCCTTAATGATTTTTAAGAAAAGGATTGATCTTAAATTTATGTGTATACTATTGTAAATAAATATGGTTTACAGTCCTCTTGGACAATTTGTTTTTCACTCATGTCCTTAATCCTGTTTCTCAAAAGGATCCATCTTATCTATTTGTATAATAAATATGTCAGCAAATGTTCTGATTTTTTTTTTAATTAAAAACCCCCAGAATTAAGAATTCCAAAGTCAGCCAGTCAGGCTGGGAGTTGAGATGAGGAAATTATGTAGCTACTATGTTACCATTAAATTTTACATCAAACATCTGCAGATCTGTTAAGCTTGATTTTAGTTATTCACAACCTGTAAATAAGGGCCCTGGTGTCACTAAAATTGTGTGGAAACAGTGTTTAAGTGTGTAATTTCATCTTCAGCACAAAGCATGTTTTCATGGTTCTGCCATAAAAGCATTGTGGTCATTCCTGCAGGATTCAGTATGCTTCCTGGCTTTCGGTGGTAACGTTCAGCCCACAAAATGGATGTCAAAAGTACTGAATACTTTGTATATGTATTTTCACTTTGCCAGATTGTAAAGTTGGGTTATTTTGTATGTGTTGGGGAGAGGACAAGACACAGTCCCAAAAACCTAATAAATTGGCTTTGCCACAGACTGTGATCGCTTATTTTCAATAATTATATGAGGAATTATGATACCACTTCTTATGGTAAAATCCACTGAAAAACTGTGAGGAAAAAGAGTTTATGCTTGCTGTATGTGTGGGTGACAATGTTGTGAAAGTCTGTCAAAATACTTGGACTACTGTCAGTGCTTCCTCGTGATGGCTCTGAGTTGTTTTGGAGCATCTGAAGCACCCACCTGATGCTTCAGAGCATGTTCAGGACTCATGTCAGACTCCAGAAGCCTGGGAAGTGATACAGCAGCTGAATGTATGTCAAGACCCTAAAGGATTCTTCTCCCTTGCTCTTCCCTTAGTTCAGAAATAAAGCCTCTTAAATTCACATACAGGTGGGACCTCTTTATTAGCTCAAAAGATCGTCTTGCAGGGTTCCATATGTGTACGTGTGCATGTGCACACAAACACGGAGCAAGGCTTTGGTTCCAGTTAAGGGCACTTTCAAATTGTTTGAGTTTCACTACTGTCCTATTTATGCTCCTCCTCTAGTTTGGCACTTAATAGTGTATTAAAACCAAAAAGTTAACACACCTTTTAGAGAAGTTTTGTATCTTTAAATGTGATTGTGGTCATCACTGCTTACCCAGGCTGTTAATTCTCCTGAGTGATTAAAAGAATGTGTTTATTGAATGTGTACACCTTGTGCTTTTGGACCCTGGGAATGACCTGAAGGGACCGTGGAAGGCACCAACAGTGCGATGCAGTTGTGAGCCCTCGTCCTAGATGGACACTAGCTATTTCATTAACTACTTAGGAAGGACATGACTTTCAACTTGGGAAGGCAAGAGGGTGATATAAAAATTCTAGATGTGTCCTAGTATTCCTGCATATACTTGCTGTGCATTAGGGTTTTCTTGGTTTTGGGGGGTGTTTGTTTTGGTTTGGTGTGGGGTTTTTTAAATGTCTCATGTCTTCATTGTGTCACCATAGCTAAGAAGCATCAAAATACATTGTTTTGTTGGGGTTTTTTTTATGTGTACTGTAATCTCCCCAAAGCAAAAAATTACTGATCCAATAAAGGGTCTAAAGTACATAGTAATTTAAGAATTTGAAAAATGAAATAGCTCCAGCCTTGTAGATTTTTAGCTTTATAAAGCAATAATTTTAAAAGACAGCGTTCCGGATGTGGCAAGGATAGATGAAGACCCCTAATGGAACGTGTCTTTCACTTTAAACTGACTTCATCTCTAAAACATGGCTTAATAATCTAAAGATTGGTTAAGCTCTGACTTTGGTGGAAGATGTAATGTGGGAGTCCATACAAGAGCTAAAGTAGAGGCAGCGCTGCGTCCTGCTCCTGCTTTGACCTTTGCCATCATCCTCTGATTCACAGGTGCTTTCCCACCAGGAATCAGCAAAACTGGGCAGCAGGAAAAACTCAGGAACTGTTTTCCCTCAAACACAGCAGCTTTGCATAAAGACAGAAACAATCAGTGCAGTGCTTGCCTATAGCTTGGATCACTCTTGGATTTACAAAAAATTGCCAACTCCCATACCAGTTGCTCATGCACTGGAAGGGCAGCTGCTGTATTTTCCAGCTGGTCATAGACTCTTCTTCCCTGATTCATCCTGGATGACATAGCACAATTCTCACCTTTGAGTCCTGCTTTCAAGGTCATTGACCAATGTGGCATAACATCTCAAATTCCAGATAAAAAGCGTTGTGTCGTTTTAAACATGTTGTTTAAAAATAATAAGAATGTTACTTTAAGACTGGCAGTCTGGGTTTATATGCAAATCAACAGAAATCTGTCATGTAACCTTAAACCTGAAGTTGGAGATAGCATTAGAAATTGGCATTATTCTAGGAACCGCTAACGCTGAGATCTGTTTCATAGTTGCACTGAAGTCTGTTAAAAGGAGACCAGTAAGGAAAAACTAGTCCCAAAACCTTATTTCTCCATAAGGCACTCACAAAAAAATCCGGTTCCGAGTTTGCAGGGATTTTTTTTTTTCCCCCCTTCTGTTGGCACTGCCTGAAGAAGGCCTCTGGCTCATCTGGCTGAAGAGTCCTCACCAAGGGCTGGGAAGTGACAGCGAGCGGGAAAGAATGGCTGCTGGTGTCCAGTGACCTCCTGGGACACACTGGGTCCTGTACAGCCTTCCCGCTGCACAGACAGCATCCCAGACGCCGACCCCTATGGAAGCACTCGCTGAAGGCAGCTCCTTGTAGTGCGAGAAGGTATTTCCAAAGCCCAAAGGCAGGCTAGCCCACTGCTAGCCATCCACAGACACTCACTGAGGTGCAGAGTCCAGCTCTGTGCGGGTATTATCTAAACATATCAGTTTCTGCCTCTGCTAAATCACCTCTGATTAATGAGTCTCTTCTAATCATTCAAAATTAATGAAAGGCAAATTTCCGAGCAATACCAATGCCCATTTCAAGAAACTCAACGTCTTCTCTCCATTCTGCTCTTCTCCTGCCTGAAAAACAACTTGGAACTGATGTAATGTGACTGAGGCCTGGGGACTGAGGTGATCACTTACCAGAGACGTGGGCTGTAGTTGCAACTACGAGTGCAACTATGAGCTTGACAGTGAGAATGTCAAATAGAGTCTTGGAGTAAGCAGACTGAGTAGTACACACACAGTGTGACTGTCTTAGTGCCCGCAGAAGCGGCTTGGGCTGTGCTCATCTCAAGGGGAAAAGGCCATAGGGTGCCTCTAGCTACAGCAGCGATGCAGCTTCACCTGCCCTCAGCTCCACAAG